ACGAGTCTCTATTCACCAAGGACATGGTTATTCAAACTCTTAAGATTTTAGAATCATTATTGCAACTTTTATGAGGACTCTGTTAGGAACTAAATAGGTAGGGTATTCGTTCTTCGTAAAAGAAATCCCACGAGGAGTTTTAAAACCCATCAATATCTTAGATGGTTATTCGACTCCTTGACTGCTCAATATTCGTTCTACTTATATTAAGGTTTCTACTCTTTCTTGATCCTCAGTGGATTTAGAAATGATTTTCCCACGACTTACCTATTTGGGGGGGTTTAAGGCTCCTATGGTTTGTCATATCATGGTAAATATATAATAATTTATCAAAAAATAATCATTATGCATTTTTTTTCTAGTCATTACCTTGTAGGAAGTATCAACCAAAAATCCTTCAATAAATATGTATTAAAATGATACATAGTAACGTGATTATCTTCTTGAATCATGGTCAACAAACAATACGATCTCCAAGGTATATTAGTCAAGGTTTCATAATTATCCTATAATCACTATTTTCACTCTCATTAATAAAAAAATTAAAACTTATTCTATAAGATTTGTTTAAAAATACTATAACGAAAGAAACATAAGTTATATTCCTAGAATTATTTTTTAATTTAATTTTTGATTTTTCAATTATTACAATTAAATTTAATTAAAGATGGATTAGTAATTCATACGAAGAATTTGAATGACGTGCAAAATTACCTAAAACATTTAGTGAAAGGATTTTGAATAGGTCACCCTAACAAATATAAGTTATTAAACCTAATTATTTGACATAATCACAACCTAATTCCCAAAATCTCTAGTATTTTTTACTTTCAGTGTTAACATTCTCCTCATGTTTATCCATTCCAAAAATAATAATATAGTTTATTTAAAAAAATTAATTTTTTTTTTGAATAAACATTGTTTTTTAATTTTTAAAAATTAAAAGAAAATTGTATTCATACCAATCATAATCCGGTATGGCAAATTTAATTTTATGGGTTCACCCAAATTTGACTAATTCTTGTAAATATTCAATCCAATATGAAGTTTAAAACGTATAATGCTGTGTAAACTTATAGTATAATAGTTGAAAGAGACCAAATAGGGAATATTAATAGTAAAAATATATATATATTATATTTAACTTTTACTAGTGAAAAATTAAATAAAATAATATTAGTGTAGCTATAGTTGTAAAATTGTTCAAACTGCATTTTTTATCTTTCATTTGTTTAAAGTTGGTACTAATCGTATTTGACTATTGCAATCCAAAGTACAATAAAAAAATACATTAGGATAATTTTTATAATACTTAAAAAGGTATACATGGAGGTACTAACTTCTCACAATTAAAAAATTTGTTAATTGTACGATCAAAATTCTACAAGATTGCAAATATTTATTGACTAAAAATTGTACTAAATTTTTGTGTCATTAAAAATTTATACTCTCTATAAAAGTAGTTAATTTTACCTTAATCAAAAATTTTAGATAATCAGAACAGCATCATTAAAAAATTAATAAAATTAACTAATGTATAAACTTCCTCAAACAAAATATATATATATATAATGTGTAAATTCCACAATAACCTGAAATCAAATAACAGGCACACCCATATAAAAAAAAACTAAGAAATGGTGACACTTAAACTTCAAATCAAATCTTGTTTATTATAGGTCTCCTAGTGCCAGAAGAGAATCATAGTACGAATTTACCATCATGTTAATGAAAAATCAATTTCAAGAGATCACAATATAATGGTGATTGATTCATTCATTACTTCATTCATTGCTTTCAGGCTTTGTGGATATAAAAGAATCACAAGAGCTAGTTGTATTAGCCTAGCAACAGCAGCCCAAACCTCTTGTCTAAATTTAGGCTCCGGATAAACACACCCATTATCATATACAACTTTAGCTTTAAACATCTCTGAACTCCTTCAGGAAATTGAAAGATTGGCAAGCGAAACAATTTTACTTCTCACAGACATATGAAAGAATACCTGTTGGATCATGTGGAAAGAGATTGCTTCACATTATACAACAATTTGGTTGTGATTCCAGCATCTCTGGAGATCTGCAAGAGAGAGTAGTTACTTAGTCCTGCATAAAGAGATATTTTGCTTACAGGAAGAAGAAATTTCTGCAGAAATCATATTTCCGTATCAACACGCAATAACACAAATCTGAGGTTAAACTGGGGCACTCATCTTGTATCAAACTAAAACTAAAAGTATGGCTTCACGTATGATTGATAATACTACTTAGATGTCAATCATATATGGAATCTCTAATTGACACAATTCATTTGAGTCCTTCCCCACAAGAATGATGATGTTAATTCCACAAACGAACACAAATAACTATAATAACAGTCAATAATATTCTTCAACATAGAATTAAATAAATAAATGTGTCATTGCACTTAGTAATATCTTGTGATCAATGTAGAGCACTCTTAAGAATGTAACAGAGAACTTACATCTGACCAAGAGTAGCTAGATCAAAATCCGGAGCAAGCTCCTGCACAATATCATTTGGTGGTTGGCCACACTCTTGCATTTTCTGCATGAGATCAACTATCTTGGTGAAGTTGCCAGGATCATTCTCATAAACTTCATTAAGTTCTTTAATGAGTTCATATTGGTGCGCATATCGCTCGTATTCTTCTTTGCTCAGACTGCTCTCATGCTCTTGCAACCACTTTGGATACCTTTCTCCAATTTCCTTCATGGGTTCGTGAAGGATCTCCTTAGACAAAAGTTGTTGCATCATGGTCTCCATAATAGATTCCATGTCCTTAAGAATAACAGAAAGAAGTTAGACTAATTCTTGAGACAGAAACTACAAATTGACATATACGTAGACGAAGGAGGCAAATATTATGTGAACGAAAATTATAAACACGCAGTTATAGTTAGAAGAAAAAGTTGTCCACACAAAATCCAAATTAATAGAAGAATTGTTTAGGCAAAAATTTCTCATATTTCCCTGCTGTTCACTAAGTAGATAAATTTTCTACGCCAACTTCAGTGCTCAAACAAGCAAAACAATGGCGTAAAGTTGCTTAAAATTCAGAAAACTAAAATGATAACAAAACCAACAGTTGCTGTTCACAAAATAATTATTTTAATTAGAAAAAGATTATTTGAAAAAACATCCAATTTGATCAGGTCTTCAGTGCATATAGGATTCACTTTCTTGTGCTGCTCTGTCCAGTCCGGTCGTGTTCCGATTCGATTAATCATTCAGAATCAGGGGGAAAATGGAAAATTGAAGGTGGGACAAAGAGACAGATTGCAATATTTAGACGCTACAGCAACTTATCATGTTCCGCAATACCTTCACCGTCACCGTTTCAGACTTCCCCTTGAACCAAATTGTGAATGTAACAAACCAATAGTACTGACGTATTTACATAAAGATAGATACATGCATCATAAACATACATTTTTTATCAGCATAAATATAAATTTTTGTGATAACACATCAATATAATGTGTTCTTTGAACATGATATTAACCAACAACTAAAGATCAACTTCCAAATCAATTTTCAGCGTCTCTGAGTTTGTAGTCCAAACTGAAACACAATTGAAGGAGATAAAACTTCATCGTTCAATCCCAAAAAAGAAAATTGAAATACTACAATGCACAACCTTGACTCCCTCAACTTCCTTGATTACATAGAGATATACACACGAAACAGTTGTTTGCATGTTTCTATAATGTAGAGTTGTATGTAGAAACATCTAAAATATACATGCATGCATGCATGCATTAGTATTCTGTTTTCATTCAAAACCACTTGTTATGCTGTCAATGAAAATCAAAAGAACGAAGTTAAGTCTTTTATAAAAAATCTTTATTCATCAAAATTGATATTTTTTCATTAGAAAAGGAGAAAAAGATAATATAATATAAAAAGGTGAGGATAAGATTTTTTCTGCTATAAAAAGGGGGAGAGGGTAGGATAAGCCATCTTTCTACCTGGAATAGGCAGGAAAGTAAAGAAGAGACAAGAAGAATCTTCAAATACAAGAAAGCAACCCAATCCAGTTTGTCAAGTAGACAAACAACAACCTCCCTTTCCATTTCCCCACCTCTGGGGAAAAAAAAAACCAAAAAGAAAAAAAATCACCCATGAGCCTTAGCCCAAAAAAAGGTAAAAGCACCATTCTATCATAGAGAAGCTATTGGAATTGAGATCACTGTTCAAAATTTCTGGCATTCCTCTCCATTAGTATTTTACTCGTATGGACAACAGAAGTGAAATCAGGTTCGCTTAATAATAAGGGTAAAATAGAAAAAGATTGTAAAAAGGTAGTCTTTCACTTTACCACCTGGAGTGATCAGAGAAGTTGTAACCAGCAGAGGAGGGCTGTTGTAACCAACAGGCGCGTCTAACAGACAGGTGCGCCTTTTTCCCCTCCCTGCCCTGGCCTATGAAAATGGCTCCTAATTGAATGAAAATCATCAAGAAGGAAAAATCATCCAATTCTGTCAATTAAATTCTCTCTCCCTCTCAACTAACCTTTCTCTCCTTTTCTTCTCTTCCAATACCGAAGTCAGAACCCTGAGCATAGAAATCTCACCCTAAAACTAAATGGAACTGAAGGTGGGGATGGTGGTAACTCAAACAAAATAAATCAAGGTCTAATTGTTGACGTTAAGAGTAGTATGAGACAGATACAGAACTAGGAACTAACTATAAATTGAATGGGATTGAATGAAACGGAACGCAACCCTAGGGTTTTGGAATTTGAGAGTTTAAGGTTCTAGGATTTAGGAAGTTTGATACTAACATAAAAATATCTCTTAATATCGAAATATTTCTAGTTGTGGTATCCCTCATCTCCACCAAAAAGCCTTGCTAACACCAGAAAACACAAGATCTCTCATCATCTTCTCAATTCTATCCCGACGCAGTGGAATTCAAAACAAGCACAAATATCATGGGAACACCATAAAAACACCCTTGGGATGAAAATAATTCGATCCCCAAAAAATAACACAATCTTCCTACTTTCGGAACACTTAGAAGTCTTATGCACCAATACAATCCCAAGATAACTGCGTGGGCCAACACTTAGCAATCCAATCAAATAAATCAAAGGCTATTGCCAAATTTTACATCTAGCGGTATCAATCCCTCTGATTGGGGGGACCTCAAATTTTTTTTTTCCTTTGAAATAGACCTCAAACACCAGCAAAAAGGAAATAAGTTGACTAAATTATGTCATGTTGAAACAAAAGGACTGTATCAACTCCAAGTTATAAATGTGATATTTCAATCACTTCGTCCCCAAAACAAAACACCCGTCATCAAACCTCTATTAGTACCCTTGTCAAATCATAGAACAAGACATCAACCACCAAGGCTTAAAGACACACAAAAAGTAAACAAAACGCTTTATCCAATTAACATCCATCATGCTTTCCAGTCTCCTCCTCAAAAAGCCTCTCAGCTTTCCTTCATCGGTAGAGCACCACCCCAAATCCTCAATAACTGGTCCATTAACACCATCTCTCCATACACTTCCCATAAGAACTATATGATGATTCCCTCATGATTTTACATCTCTAAGTTCCAAGATCTTAATCAAACTCTTGCACCTCTTGCTTGCTGCCCTACGGAAAAGACAAACCCTATATTTACATCCCCTCCATAGCCACTTTAACCTAACGTTATGGCTCCAACTTATCTCCTTCTTCAAGAGAATTATGGAAAGATGATAGCCTACCAGGTTGATCCTTCAATAAAACGTCCTCAAATTCAAGGGTACATAAAAGGCTTACCTTGTCAAGATCCTACTTCCAACTCCATAAAAACTTAAATTTACTTAGAGGATACTTTATGTATCTTATTTTTTGACCACCAAAACCTTGCAAGGTCTTTAACAGTGTTTTAAGTTTTCTATGAGTTGGTAAGTAGCCAAGAGCTTTTAAGTAGACAACTAATAAACTCTCGTAAAAAAATTTCAGAAAGCTATCGGCCCCCAATTTTTATTTTAGAGAGCTTATAGTTGTTTCCAACCAAACATAATTATCTTATGGTATATAGACACCAAGGAGGTGCAACTGGTACATAAAGCTTTACAAATCTGCAAGATGTCCAACTCTTCAAGATCCTCATAGGCATAGAGAGAACGACTCTTTATCAAAAAACCCAATTTGGAGCCAAATATCCTTGAACTTATCCAAAAAAATTCATACCCTCGAGATCCTTTATGTTCCTTTCCTTCCAAATAACCCATAAGATGGCAAGCGGATAAGTTCTACATGCTTGTTATAACATTTATCCCCTAAGAGTTCTCTCCATGCCTGAATCTCCTCTTTAATTGAACTACTCATTACACAATGAAACCCCAAAAGACTATAGGCCATAGACCAAAATCAATATGAAAGAGGACATCCAAGAAGGTGGTTGGTCGATTTTGCACTGCTCTTGCTTTAACAATTTTTTTACACAAAAAAAAAAAAAAAAAATTGTATTAAATTTTTTTTTTTGAAATAAAAGTGTGGAGTTGTATTGATATTAAAGTGGCAAGGGGGCACAACCCATTTACAATGTATTCACAAGTCAATTAAACTATCGACGACAAAACTAAGATCATCAAAATAGTCGATGTTATGTCCCAAAATAATGGAACCAAAATAGTGAAACCAACAATCAATGAGTTTGTTAAAATCAAGTTCTATTCCTTCAAAAGTGCGATTGTTTCTCTCTTTCCAAAGGACCCATATTATGGTGAGTGAGATTAATCTTAACATTTTCCTCTTGCTGCTGATGTTTTCCCATGCTAGGTGTTCAACATGAATGTTGTTGTTCATGACCCAAGACAGTCCCATAAGACATTTAATGGTGTTCCATAAGTGCTGTAAAACCGAACAGCCTAAAAGCAGGTAGTTACAGGTTTCAAAATTGTTTTACATAGAAAACATCTATTGACAATCGTGCAACCTCTTTTCATTAGGTTGTCAAGGATAAGAATGAACCCTTTTGCAGCTTCCCAAGCAAAAAATGAAATTCTTGGAGTTGCACCCGATTTCAATATTATGTTGGAAGGAAAGCTAATATTATTCTGATTAAGATTATCCTCTAGGTGGTTGTAAAAAGATCTGACAATAAAGGTACCATTTTTAGAGAGTAGCCATTTTAGATTGTCCTCCCCTGTTATACACTTGAATTGAAGACAGAGTCTGTATCAAGGATAAATATTCCCCTAACTCCCAATCTGGTAAGTTTCTTAATATTAACATCTGCTAAAAGTCCTGATTGTCAAATACCGCAACATCTTCAACCAAAATATTTTTGTCCCTAATAGTAACATAAATAAGAGAAAATCTTGTTTGAGAAGTAGAGTTGTCATGCCATATGCCAAACCAAAATCTTTATTTTGTTGCAATTCCCAATAACCCAACTAGAGTGTTGTAGAATGATATTAGTTGGTTTCCAGATGTTCTTTTAAAGGCTCAAATCAAATGTGCTATTTATAATTCTAGATTGATCATGATAGTCACTGTTGAACCATTTGCACAATATGATTGATTTCCATAAGCTATTACGTTCGTTCCAGAATCTCCAAATCCATTTCCTAAGAAGGGCCTTGTTAAGTGTAGTTATAGATCTTAGGCCCAAACCACCCTCTTTAATAAGTTTCTTGATTTCTTTCCAGTTTACAAGGTGGATTTTTCTATTGTTACTATCATCATCTCCCCAGAAAAAGTTGCACTGAATGAATTTCAGAGTGTTAGCAATATGAGTTGGAATGTTGAACACCGAAAGGAGATAAATAGGGAGTTTAGATAGGGCGCTTTTAATGAGAGTTAATTGTCCCCCCTTTGATAAAAAATTTCTCTTCCAGTGGACAAGTCCATTTTGAAACATATCAATGATCGGATCCCAACATTTTCTGTCTTTGTATTTGGCCCCAAAGGGGGCGCCAAAGTACGAGATGGGTAATTGAGAAACTTTACAACCCAGAATCTGTGCCAAGAATTCACCAGATTGAGAACCCATCACCACCAATTCAAATTTGTGAAGATTGATTTTTAGACCAGAGACTGCTTGAAAACATAATAAAATGCATTTCAAGAAAATTATTGAAC